GTGGCACACCATGTATGCTCATTTCTGTGCAAGTCAAACACCACAGAGAGCAGCTCAAACAAATCTCAACATGTTTCCCATGCCCAGAAATGGGATTCCTCCCACAAAGGCCCCAGGCATGAACATCACAGCACCTTCCTCTTGCCTCCAGGCTCCTCCCATTTCGCTCTATTCTCCTACCCAAACCACCCAGGCATTTCTCTTTTTTCACCTCTCTGCACAGTAAATCACCTTTCAGAATACTGTGAGACTCCTGTGACAAGGGCAAACAGGTTATAGGATCCATTGTTTCAGGTCTCAGAAGGCATTCTTCAAAGTCAGCACAAGGGCAGACAGATATCCATCCCCTCTCTGAAATGGACTAGCCTCAGTCTAAAAACCTTCCTTTCGAATTGACGAGGGAGCAGCAGATTTGCACGCGGTGGATCTAAAACCAAACGTACCTTTGCTTTCAGCTCAGCACAGATATCCTGTTGCTTCTGCCTAGAATCAGCCAGCACCACTTCTGCCTCGTGAGCAGCAGCAGCGTCAGCAGCCGTGGCCAGAGCTCGAAGGACGAAGGCTTTCCTAGCTCGGGCCCAGCCTAACAGCAGAGCTCTGCGCCGAGCCCTGATGGAATGGCAGTGCTCCCAAAGTTTCTCATGGACAACCTGAAAGAGGAGAGCATTTCAGAAAGGTTTAAAACCCGTGTATTAATAAAACAAATCTATTCTAGAACCCTTGCAAACTTTGCACGCTCTTGATTTGGTGGTTGTGTGCACAGTGCCAGGGACATCCCTCCAGCCACACCATCCCTGCCCTGTGCTCGTGCTCAGCTACGTCCTGCAGCATGGCTAGACTGAGTGCACAGCTCCTGCTGCCCTCAAGGGCATAAAGCACAAGTAGGGCCTTCCAATACATCTCCAGGGATACTGAGCACCTCCAGCAAGATGAGACTTTTCCTTAGCCAAACAGGACACCGATGGCAGTGAGTGTACAAAAGCAGTGCAGGTGAGAACCAGCCTCACTTCTCCTTTCCCAACTGAAAATTTGGACAGGGATTTTCAGCTTGCCAAGCAGCACACTGCCACCACCAGTGTCACCACCCAGCAAAACAGGGAGTGTTTCACCTGAAATACACCTCCTTTGGCCTAATTCAGCGAGGCTCCCCAGGACAGCCACACTTCACAACTCTGACAGCAGGAGCAGGTAAGGCTGTATGGGCTGAGGCAGTAGAGTCTTGAACCCAAAAACACAGGTTACAGGGAGAAGGAGATGCCAGGGATGGCTGGCTGCTCAATAGGTGTCAATGGGACCATTCCAGATGCTAATTTCCAGGCTCTTGGCAGGGGCCAGGGGGATGCTGACTGGCCTGGTGCCCAGCTCACAGATACTCCTATCAGCTTGTGTTTGGATGAAGATAAAGTGGCTCAGGGCCAGTGCATCAAGAGCTGCCCTGGCCGTGGCTGCTGCCCCAGACTGCACAGAGCCACACTCAGCAGTGCCCAAAGCCAAGAGACTCATAAGCAAGGCATGGGATGCTCTCCTAGAACCAGACCTCTCTGCTGAGCTGCTGTGGGATCAGGCTCTGGGGATGTCCTCTGACCCACCCTGCATGGAGGGAAGGAGGCTCAGAAGGCTCCCAGGCTGGTACTCCAAAGTTACACAGGATTTAAGACTAGATTCTTAGCACTGTTTTAACACTTCCATATTTATCATGCTAATGCACACACTGAGAGGTACCAGTTCCATGTAGAATTGATTTTTAAATTTAGCATTTTTAAATTTTAAATGAGCCTTCAAAGCATTAGGGAGCCCCATTAATCGTGGCTGTGCTTAAAATACACCTCTGTGGTGTAAAGCATGTGACCATTCAGGCCAGTGCTCCCAGGCAAAAGTTCTGCCATCCACCAGAACTTCATTTCCAGTGGAACTCTGGTTAATTACCAGCATCACTTCACTGTCACTCCTTGGCACTAGACACTCCTCAAACATAGGGAAGTAGATGGCCTAAAAATACAGGCAGAGATAAAAAAAGCTTCCCCTTTCCTTAGGACATCCTGAGGTGTCCTGGCCTCGAAATGGGTGTCTCTATTAGCTGCTGTGTGCTTAGCCACTGCGGAGTGTAAGAAGAACCAGCAATCAATTCCAGAGGCATTATGTATATAAAAATAGCCTCCCTGAGAGCAGGAGATAACTTTCCACTCTTCCTGCTCTATATGCACCACAGAACAATTAAAATAGCTATTCCTAGACAGTGCTATACATCCCCATGAAAAAAAGAGCACCTGGGGAAGCAGAGTAGCATGACACAGCTATAAAACTGCAGCAAAAGCAGTGCCAACAAATTATTTCTGTGACTTTGGTTGTAAGAGCATGTGGAACTACAAAATCTCCCCAGGGCTTGTTTTGGGGAGGGACAGGTTTGAAAGTTCCTGCGTTTTGAACACAGAGATATCTCTCTTTTTCTGCACAGAACACTATAATTAAGAAACTTTAAAACAAAGAACTTTGACAAACATTTATACTAATGTTCACTACATAATTTATGTAAGAATTCGTAGAAGTGATGAATATTTAAACCAACACTGACCAGCTCGTGCCTGGATTTGTGGGGAAGGTATCTCTGCAACATATCCAGGTACAAAGTCCTCCTCCTCTGGAGATCACTCGGATACTGATCGATAACAGTCTGGAAAACCCACTGGTCTTCTTTCTTCCAGTCACTGCTCCTATAGGAATGCAAAACAATCCACCCCAGTATAACTTAGACACTGAAAAGGAGGAGTTTGGTTCTGGTTTATTTTCACAGCCTAATCTCCAGTGGGGTCACAGTCCTGACACTGCAAACTGGGCACTGGCCAGAGCTGAGAAAACCAGATTTAATGAAACCAAGCAAACACATACTGCTTTGCTAATGTGTGCACTTGTTGTGCCATCACTCTGCTGAACTGTTGTTTCTAACCTGGCTTTTACTGGGGAATGGCACTGTGTTTCTCCAACGTGCTCCATCAGTGGATACTCACCCCACAGGGAAAGTACATGTGCATGAGGAAGAAGACGACCAGACACTACCACTGAGGGCTAAACACATGATCCAAACGGGATGAATGAGGCCACAGTCCCTGTGTGCAGCTGAGCAAGGCACCAGTTTGACACCACACTCCCAACAGCCACGGGCCCCAGCAAGGCACAGGGCTCATCGTTTCCCAGAGCAGGAGGTGTAGAACCAGCATGCATTCCTCTGGCTTGGGAAACCAGAGCAGTGAGAACAACACCCAGCTAAAACAGTTCCAGGGGCTCGGGTTCAGTGGCTCAGATTTTCCTCGGTCTGAACCCTGGTCCCGAGGGATTAACGGCAGCGTTAGCATCTGAGCAGCAACACTGAGTCAGGCCCGGAGGTCTCTCTAGCCCAGTGACCTGGTTTCACAAGTGACTAAGAGCCTAGGGAGAATTAGAAGAAGGCAATCACGAGATTCTACCCCCTCCCGAATTCCCAGCTGCTGCAGCCCCGGGCCCCCCCGAGCCAGCAGAGGTGCCTCAGGATTCCATGCGCTGTGTCCAGCGAGGGACGGGCACAGCCTTCTGCTCCTGCAGGCAGGAGGGACAGGCACTGCAGAGGGGACTTCTGGTGAGATGCTCACATGCAGTTTATATTAAACTAGACTTCATGATATGAGCTAGCATTATGTCTGAGGAGAAAACAGGGAGTGCTAGAACTAGGCAACCCCTAACACAACTGCCCTGAAAGACACTGCACCCCGGGGCACAGAGAGGGCACAGGAGCATCCCCAGCCCTGTTAGCTTCACCTGCAGCCACATCTCAAGAGTGCAGAGACACAAGATACCATTTCTAAGCAATACCCTGACAGGGAAGGGACCTGTCTCTCCATGACATGCCTTTCACATTTCTTCCTCCTCCCTGGCACGTTCTCTGCTGCCTGCTTTGCCCTGAAGCTGGCCCAGATTTGGGCAGAGGCCAATTTGCCTCCACCCACCTAAAGGCATTTATTTTACCATTCCCTCAGGCAGACAGATGAGCTGTGTGTTTATCCGTATGGTCTTAGAGAGATTTGACCCATCTTTCTGGAAACAGAGGTTCTCTCCTCCTCACTTCAGTCCTCTGACCAAACAAGAATGAATTTTAGCTTACTATGACATTTTCAGCACAGAATCCTCGTTCCAGGATCAGAATGGTGGCAACTGCATGCTAACCAAATACAAGGACACACTGGTGTGAACATGGTATACTTGTCTTTGAATAAACATTAGAAGTTACTCTTGTCTTTTGTGCAAAGAGCACCACATGAGGGTGGCCTGGCAAGGGGAAATCACACTTTGCCTCCTGCAATGCACCCGATCACATTACCATGGCCATTAGTGCTAGAAACACAGCAAAACTCTGCAGTAACAAAGTGCATTGTCACAGAGATTCCAGGCACGAAAGGGATTCTTGCAGGAAAATACGAATCCCTAACTCTTACCTGGGCAGAGCTTTTGAGCAGCTGACCTGATTATCAACGGAGTGAAGTGAACGTGGCACACAGAAAATTAATTTCTAAAGAGACAGAAGTGCCCACAGGCACAGGACAGAGAGCACACACTGACACTTCAGCCTTGGCTTTGCCACCCAGAGAAGGCTCACAGTCTGACAGCTCTGGAACAAGCCACAGAACATAGCCAACAAATCCCAGGATTGAACAGAACCTGATTTCTGGTGAAGAGAACACCAAGCAGCCCCTGACAGGGGGTGAGCATGAGTGGGGCTGGGCCCCAGTACAGCAGCACGAGCTCCACCAAAACACTCCCCACCACCTGTGCAGGTACAGATTGAGAGCCTGGGATGCTATGGCAATAATCCTGACTTGGAGACTCATCAGGAGCTAAAATCACTAAAGCTGTGGAAGGAGACAGCCTTCCCTCTACAAGCTTACATGAGAGAGTTTTCACCCGTTTTCCTTTCTCCTCTCTAAGCTCTGTGAAACATCTCGGGCCGAGGAGCTTGCTGTGACACCCAATCCTTGTGAAAAGAAGTGGCCTTGAACCAGGGGAGCAGAGATGCAGCTCCTGTAAAAACTTGGTTTGCTGTGACTGACAACTACCAAGCAGAGGTTGGACACAATCTAACAAGTGAAATGACATGAGCAAAAGCACTCGGAGCTAGTGCTTCCAGCTCCTCCCTTTTCTCTAGAGGGAGCTTTGCTGTGAAATCGGTTCATTTATTAATTCCAGAATCTGTGTGTCCTAACTTGATATTCTGCGGCATAGGATTTCTGGAGAATAACTTTAATAACAAATTAATCATCCTTTGCTGGGATTTAGATCTCTTTCACTGCAACTGCTCCTACTGATCTGAACCGAGTGAATACAAAAATATCTTTCTTCTGAAAATAGCATCTAGAATTCCCATCTTTCCAGCCCCAATATTTCATTCTTTTGCCTACTAGAAGAACCACCATAACACCCTGGCAGGCTCCACTCAGAGGGAGTACCAGCCATCCTAAGAGAGGGTTTGCTACTTTATGGCTTGGATTTGGAGCTACCTCCTGTAATTTCTGAAAGAAATCAGTAATCCTCCTCTGTGAGTCCTGACACACCTCAGCATGGTGATGTCTGAACATGTCACTTTAGTGACAGCAGTGAGACAGTTCTAAGAGCTGAGATTGATTCTCTTTTGTAAACTTCTACCTTAGATACTTCTGACCACACAGGTTGGTGAACAAATAGAGACCTTCTGCCTACAAGATGAGTAAGGCAGAGTAAGATACACCTTGGCCAGGGAGCATTACACCTCGAACTGAGAGCAGGGAACACCACAGAGACCTCTCCTGCTTCTGGCACACAGAGGCAGATGCACCAGCTGCTGCATCAGTTCCTGCCTCCTCCATCCTGTATCTCTCTCAAGCTCCCTCTGATTTATATTCCTCTAATGTCCAGGTAAGGATGAATCACTGCACTGCTCAAAACAAGAAGGAGAAATTAAGGCTTGTGGAAGATCCTCCGGGGAGCAATCAGCTGGAGCTAGAGCTACAAGTAGCTTATTGTAAAGTAGGGACAAACTGGCTGCCAAAGCCTTGGTTTGTCAGCTGTGCCAAAATTTGTCAGCTGTGCTGAGATTTTGTCAGCTGCTCATAGAAAAACAGCACCAAAAAGCCCCAGCTTGACCCAGCCCAGAGCATTCACAATTCCAACACATTCTGCTGAGCAGATCCGAGATGTCACCTCGCACTCCTGTACAATTCCAGGAAGGATCATCTCATCTAAAACAAGTCTGGGAAGGGCCAACACGTTTGACATGAATTCTGCAGCGCCAAGATATTGACAAACGTTTGCCAGGCTGAAGGCCTGACCCAAATCTCCAGCCTGGTGCTCCTTTTCCTTGCTGCAGCATTCTGCCAGAGCAAGCACAATCCTTATCTTGTTTCAGAGCTGAAACACAGCAATTGTCTTATATGCCGCAGCCCCGAGGCAGCTGCTTCCTTTGAAACAGATTTCCCCAGCAGTAATCCGTGGCTTTACACGTCCTAAAGAATACAAACAGCTCCGAGGGGAATCTCCCCCGGCCCCCTGTAATCCCCGCAGATCCCTTGCAATAGCCGCGTGCGCTGGCGCTGCTGTCGTGTTGGATTTGCAGGCACACACTGCCACAATGCCACCGAGGGAGATGGCACTCCCCTGCTATTCATTATGCCGTTGCTGATTGTTGTACCAGAAACATCCCAGTAACGGGCCTGGAAAGAGGAGCTAAATTTGCTTGACTTGGTCTCGCTATCCATTCGTTGGAAGGGATGCTGCAGAGGATGCAGTGCTGAATCTGCAATGCTCCATCCGTCCTCGAGTGATTCAGACAAGTCAGGCATCCTTGGAAATTGTGGCAAAAATATAATGGTGCTTAGAGAATCATCGACTGTAACACACACACCAGTTCCAAGTCCACAGTCTGTGGGACAGGACCTGAGTACTTCCCAAACACAGAAATTCGTGTTTTAGCAGCAGTAAAAGAAATTAAATTCGATTATAAAACATTATAATCCTGTATTGTGCTTGGAAAAAAAACCCAAATTCTTCTTCCATTTCCAGAAGCAATGCCAACTGCCATGTGCTTTCTAGAGGGGCTGAAAAGGACAGAAGAGACCAGACTGAAATACGATCTTATTCTGAGTTTTCTCTGGACATTCTATGTGCATTTTCCAAACTCTCTGTTCCAGACAGTCTGAACAGCTGAAAAACGAGATATGCAGTGCCAAAGGAGTATTAACTGAAGGTTTCCTTGCTGTACATTCAAGCACATGATGAGAGAGGAAGGAGGACAGAGCAGAGATCCCCACCTGGAGTGACCAAGGTGTCACGATATAGAATCATGTTGTGCTACTGAGCAACTCCTCAAATCATAGAAATGGGGAAAGATGCATTGCAGGAGGATGTCTGATGCTCTGGGCACAGAGAAATGACAACTGCAAAGGCTTCGTTAAGGCTGTGCTAATCAGCAGAGCCCAGGGGATACACAGCAAGGGCAGAGACCTGTCACTCCCTCTCTGACAGCATTATCTGTGCCACTCGGGTCGAGTCAGCGTGATGAATTACAGAATGCTTCAATCACAAGGCTCTCTCTTTGCAAACTCAGAGTATCTCCATGCAAATCAGCCAATATAAATGTAAGGAGTGACAGCGTGTCGTGTCTTTCGGAAAGGCAGAGAGATCTTGGAAGTAAGCAATGCCACGACAGGAACAGACCCTGTGCCTTTTCCATGGGAAACACGGCTCTTTATGTGGCTGTGGGTAAAATATTAGAAACACAAATAAGCAATACAGTAAAGACTTGGAGGCCAGAAGGCAAACAAAAAGTCCTTGGTACAGCACAGCAAACAAAACTCCTCCCTGCTCGAGGAGGGAGGCTGGACCTGGTGACCCACTCTGGTCCCCTCTAACCTGATTCTGCAATTCTGAGAAAACCCCAGGGTCTAGCTTTAAATACAGTGCCTAATGCTGATGGTTCACTTGTGATTCTGTCCTGACACAGACAGACCCAAACTGGGTCTGGTGCCCTACACCTTCTGGCAGCCCCAGCAGATTGCTGCCACTATCATCTCCTCCTGTGATCTGCAGATCACAGCCTAATTCCTTCACAGTGCCACTGCACACGTGCCCATGCCTACAAATGAATTCCTTCCCTTGCAAATATGGCATTTTTCTGTTATTTAATTATCAGTGCAAAATTAGCTAGCTCCAGGCCTAAATTCACTCCTGGCCCATGAGCAGTGAAAACACCAGGGCTGATTTTCTAAACATTTTCATACCCTCTGTTGCCCATGTTGATGCTTGTCTATTAGTAGCACACATGCTGTGTGGGTCAAAGATTTTAACATGGATTTTCACCCAAATTGTGTTGTTGATCATAAACTTGAACACCGTTTTATTTAAAACCACTGGAAAGACTTAGCATGATTTAGCATTTGTCACAGGTTTTCTCATTAAGGTTGCTAACACTTCTGTAAAAGCAACCGTAACAGTATCAGAGACAGCAGCAGTGAGTTTGCCACTTGCTGCTTAATAAATGCTGCAAATAAGGGATAAATCAAAGCAATTTTTAATAAGTGTCATGCTGTAAGAGCTGGGATGTCACAGCAATGACATACAGGGTTTGGGTAACAGAAAAAGAACCTACAGCGTATCTGAACAATTTGTACCGAAGATAAGTAGATCATAACATCACTTCCTATGGCATCCAACATCTTTAACCTGCTTCAGCACAGCAAACTCAGTCAGCAGCAGGGACAGAAGATCTAAGAGCTGCACTGTCTGTGTCTATAGAAAACAAAGATTTGGAAGCAGCATGAGATAGTTTTACCAGAGAAACTCAGGAACCTTCCTGCTGTCTCCAGTTTCTTCTGCCCAGGCTTCAAACCATTCCACTGACCTCCCCATTCCCAGTCTTAAAATCCAAAGCCATCCCAAGCCAGAGGGATACCAGGAGATGACAAAGAGGAGTCAAAGCCTGTCCAATATCTGCAGCTCAGTGTCTCCTGGACTCTAGACAGGTTAAGCTTTGCCCAAGTGATACACAGGTTTGATGCATTTCTAGATCATTAGGAATAATGTTCTCTCTATAAACTTTCTCATTTACAGAACAGTCTCTGCTCCTTGCAGTTATCTGACTCAGAGCTATATACATCTCTTGCATTTCTTTGTGATGAGAATTACTGCAGTGACCCAGTGTTTGTGAGAAGATTGGACCTTTTTATCTGCTTTGCAGATAAAACTGTTTGAGACCTGTCTCACAGGGTGCACTTCTCTGCCATGAACGTGATAGCGTAATTACCACACGGCAAGGACCACTTCCATTCCCAAAGAGCAAGTGGAAAGGACATGTGATGCACACCAGAGTGCTGGTTCCCTAATCCACCAAACATGTTGCTTATTATTTCAGCTGAGAGGTGGTGCCAGGAGTGGCTCCTCTCCCTCAGCTGGGTAAACACTGCCCTGCTGTCTGACCCTGGAGCTGGGCAGTGCCTCCTCTGGGAGGGCAGAGCCAGCTGCAGGCTCTGGGCAGCACAAATGGCACTGCAGGCACTCATTTATTCCCCAGCAGAAGACACACAGGAGCATGTCATTACCTCTCTAACCCTTCCAGCTGCTGATCCATCTCCCGAAGCTTTGCCCAGTACCCACTGGCAAGCTGTCGGTACTCGTCCACCACTGAGGTCTGCAGGTCAGGCTGGGGGCACTCCAGAGACAGCAGCTCAGGAGGAACTTCCAGCAAGAGCCCACTTTCCTCCTCACCAGAGAGTGCTGATACCTGCCGTGAAGAAATGCTGCTCAGACACTACTCTGCATGCTATTTGCTCTCTCAAGAAATTGCTAATTGAACTTACTTTGGCTTTGTAGTCTTCCAGCTCTCTTTCCAAAGCCAGACTTTCCAGGCTGAGAACTTCCAAAACTGCCTTCTGTTGCTTCTTCACAAATTCGATCTATTTCATGAAACATGTTACTGTTACTTCTTTATCGTGTTACACTAGGAAAGCTCTTATTTAGAAACACTTGGATTTCCAGCCCTGTGCTCTCACAGCACAGACTTACCCCATGGCAAGGACAGGGGTTACAGGACACTCTGCGTGTGAGTCACAGCCTCAAAGTTCAACATGAAAATAAATGAAGATGCTAAAAATACGGTGATAATAAATTGTCACAATAAAGTGAAATCCCAACCTGCTGTAACAGCTCATGGGAACGGATCTCAGGTTTCTGACAAGATTCTCCTGCGAGGTGATGCTGCATTTCAGCCAGCTGGAGCTCCAGATCCTCCCTCAGCTGCCAGACAGGAGCCACAGTGTTTGCTCGGTGAGTGTCCCTCTCCTCACACAGCTCCTGCTCTGCACCCAAGTGAAACACAAAGCTTTCTCCAACACCGAACACCACACAGCACTGTGCTCTCTAAACCCAAGCCTGTCAAGACAGGGATTTAAAAACTCAAGCAAACAACAAATGGCTACACAAATAATTAAGGAATTAATAAAAAATTCTTACCCAAGTCCCTCAGATCCAAAAGAAAGTTGTGCTTATGGCTTGCTTCAGCCAGAAAAGTCCTTATTTCTCCCTCTGCTTTTTGCCTGAAAGGTGTGATCAGGAGTTTTACAGCTTTAATTTCTTATTCTTTACATTTGCAAGAATGATAAGCCCCAAATACTCTAAATAGTTAGAGAAAAAGGGGATTCTTTGCCTGGAAAGTATGGAACGCAGGACTTGGACATGAAGATGGTAAGGATTTTGCTCCTCTGAGCAAAAGATGCTCATGGATCTGTGTGTGTACAGGGTAACAGACAAGAACAGACTTGGTGTTCCCTGTCAAAACTGTGAACACAATACACACACCTGGAGACAGGTTCCAGAGGGATCAAAAACGCCCATAAAGCTTTGATACTCCTCCACACTCTACAGACACCAACAGAACTGAGCAGCTAAGAGCCCATCACCGAGGGGCACACAGCCCAGCACTCACAGTTCTCTGCTTCACGAGCTCTCTGCCTGCCCCTGACCCTCTGTGTGCATCACCAGCCTCCACATCACCCCCAAAAATCTCCAGATAGGTGTTTTCTTCATAACAGCCCCGAATCAGTGCCAGCCCAGGACGTGTCTGCTGCAGCCTGTCTTTAGCAGAGGCTCCTCAGCTCTTACCTGCTCTCCCTCAGCCTCTTATGCTCCTGCCACCACACCTGCCGATGCTGTTTCAGCAGCATTTGCTCTCTGGCAATTTTTGAAACTTGCTCTGTTTTTTTAATCTGCAGGGAAAATCAGAGCCTGGGTTTGGAATCTGTTCAACAGCCTTATCGAGTGCCCTCATACAGAAACCTCTCAGTGCAGAATGATGAACTTAATAGCTTTTTCCAAAGCTGTATTTTTCTCAAGAACAGTGGGTTCAAATGTAACCAATTTTCATGAAAACAGTAGATTCTGTTTCAAATCACATATTTAACTGAGAGGAGCAAGTAAAAAAAATACAGCCCATTTTCTTCTTTTCTTTTCCATCCCTCTTTCCCAGGAGGTGAAGAGAAGAGGGGGGAGATGAGCAGGAGAAATTAAAATACAGTTTCTCACAGGTGGGAAGATGAAAGTGTGTGTTTCAAGAACGAGAATTTCAAAAACTGGTTCCTAAAAAACAGTGAGTTTAAAATCCATCAATGAAAGAGGTTGTGAAACTGTCTGAGGCTTCACACAAACATTGCTTCACCCCTCAGATCCAACAGAAATACCTGCTCCTGAGACAGATGGAGTCACTGTCTGGCACAGAGCTGCCAGGGAAGGCTGCTCAGGGGCAGCCTGGCAGCTCAGGCCAGCAAGGAAGGCAAAGGCACCAGGAGCCTGTGGCTGCCAGATGCCCCTGGCTCTCATCCTCCTGCCATTGTGACTTCTTTGGCCTCTCATGGATCCTGAGCACAGAGCTCCTTTCCTGCTCCTTCCCTTTGTGCTGCTTTGCCAGCACCTTCCTCCAGAACACCTGTCCTCATCCCTATCCCAGCCAACTTCTGGTTGCAAGACCCTTCAGATTCCAGAGGCTCACACCGTTCACACACAGAGCAGACACATTATTCTAGGGCAGAATGGTAGCAAGATGAGAAAAAAACAACCACTGGAAAGTCTTGCCCTAGTTCCTAACAGGGAGACGTGAATAAAGATCTCACTCCACATCCAGCTCAGCACAGGAGTGGCAGTCTCAGTCACAAGTGCTGGGTTTGCTCTTGGCTCAGGTGTGATATTCCTGCTCCCTGTCCCAGCAGGGAGAGCTGGATTTCAGCTCCCAGCAGCACAGGCAAGCTAGGGCCCCACCAGTCCCCCAGCCACAGCCTCTATTCACCCACCCACAAAGCTAAAATCTCTCTTTAAAAAAGAGTAGACTTTTGAAACCATCTCACACGAATCTGAGCTCAATACATCTGGCTGAATGTGCCTAGTTCCTCGAGGAAGCAGAATCCAGACTTATTTTGTAGCTCTGATTCAAAGCAAGTCCTCACATCGACATTAACACATCCCAATCTCAGTAATGCTGTCATAAACCCTCAGGTTTGAGCCCTTTGGCTGAACACTCTTAGGGCAATTTGTTATCCCTATTCATTCTCAGATCCCTTGGGCCCAGGAAAAGAAATACATCATGGAATTTTAAACACATTCACAGCACAGATAACACGGAAATCCTACCTTTAACTGGGTTTTTGCAGAGGCCATTTTTGCCTCTGCAGCAAGTTCATGCAGATGTTTGTAGTCAACAGGTTTGTACTTCTGGCTGCAAAGAGCATTTCTTGCAGGAATCACCCCATTTTCTAGTGATCACATAAAACACACAAGGTCATGTCAAATTCTGGAGAAATAACAAGTGTGAGTCATAAAATGAAAGCATCATAGGCAGAAATTAGAACCAGCATGTTTGAAACACTAGAAGTTTCTGTGACCAAGAGATTATTAATTTGAGAATGAGAATTTGAAATAAACATAAGCTGGTAGAAATTGTATAGGAAACATGAGCCGGTTGTCTGTTTACAAAAGCTTAGTTTTGAAAGCATTGTTTGCATATGAGTTTCATGATTATTTCACTTTAAACTGAATTTACTGGAATTTTAGCAACTTCTAATACAGAAATACCTAAGTTTCAGTATATGCATTCTTGTAGTTTCAATGGGAAAACTGCTCCAAGGTTTGTTGCAACCTCTGGACTGAGCCACAGGAGTGACTTTTTCTGCGAGGTGTGAACACCACCAGTGCCATGCAGACAGCTCAAGCTGCAGGTGCACTCCCCAGGGACTCTCCAGCCATGCACACCAGCAGTCATACCAGGACAAATCCAGAAAACCAAGTCCTGTTTGAACTGTGTCTTTCTTCCCCTCTGTCCCCAGGTGACTTGGCTGGTCCCTTGCAGGTGCACTGGGAGGGTGAGAGGATGCAGCACCTGCACAGAGGGGAGGATTCCTCCTCCCCTCCTGCTCCTCAGTGCTGCTTTCTCCACCACTGAGCTCCTCCACACAGGAGTCATTCTACCAAGGCAGTGTTATGCTAAGCAGGTTTTACCTTTGACCTTGCATTATGACTAGTTTATTCTCTATATACCTTACACAAGAAGTGTTCAGTAGTTTGATCCACTCATTTCTTCCATTTTATCCTTCCTATAAGCTTAGCAGGAATAATCTCCTTTCTCCCAGTTTTCAGGCTTTTAGGTATCTCTGTTAAGCCCCTTTGTGGGCTTTCATTCCCATCAATCCAAATTTAAAGCTCTCACCCCTAAGTCAGCAAGATTCTCTGTGGAGATGCAAGCTTTGTATTTAAAAGGCAATGTGTTGGTTGTGTCTTGCATTTTACACAGGAAATAAATTTTATATACACACACACGAATAGAAATACAAAATATTGAACTTTCAGAATTTAAAATTCCTTCTCACAATTCTCTCTAACAAATACTTGCCTAAGGCTGAGTCACAACTACAATTGTAAATGGAAATACCTGAACTTTCCCCCCAGCACTGTAAAGCCCTGGTAAAGCACAGATCCTCAGCCCTTGCATAAGCCACGGAGCTTACAGGGATAAGGAATGGGCCTTTTCCTTACAGCCTCTGCTGGAGTTTCCTTTTCTAGTGAAATTGGCCATGAGCTGTTAGCAGGAAGATTTTCCCATTCCCTGATAACCCCTACAGCTGGAAGCTGTGTCTGCCATGCAGAGGGAGCACAGAGGAGATGCACAGTAAGTCCTGCAGAGCCATCCCTGATCCTGCTCCAAGCATCCCCTCAGCACTTCCACTGTGCCTACACAAAGCCTCAAACTCAGCTCCAAGTGATGCTGCCCTGGGGAAAGCCTTTTCCAGGTCCCTCCCAGGGCAGTCCCCAGTATGAGCACAGACTGGGAGCTGAGACACTGGCACAGGTTGCCCAGAGCGGCTGTGGCTGCTCCATCCCTGGGAGTGTTCCAGGCCAGGTTGGATGGGCTTGGAGCACCCTGGGCTGGTGGGAGGTGTCCCTGCCCAGGACAGGGGTGGGACTGGATAGGCTTTAAGGTCCTTCCAACCCAACCCACAATCAGTGCTATAGCAGCTTCTGTATGCAGCTGTTAATTGCACAGAGTATTTCCCGAGCAGTGGATAAAACAATCCAGTCCATGATAGCACATACCTACATCACTGTGAGCCGAAAATGGTGCTCCACGGTCCAGTTCTCCCATTTTTACTTGATTTTTTATGCCTGTTGAGAAATAAAGAGATGTCTGGAGAATACCAACGTTGTGGATGCAACCTAAAAATGCATTAAAAAATGTCTGTGGCTGTCTGAGGAGAGGCACAGCTCCCTGGAAATGCAATTAGCCAGAAATTCCACGAGTCCAGCTTTCTTTTTAAGAGATTTCATGTGCCTCATATCATTTAACAGCTAAGAAAACAAAATATTAGTTCCTCGAGGAATCTGTAACTGTCACACAGATCATCTGTTCTTTGCTCTGTGCAAACACAACAAAACCCTTGACCCAAGTGTGAGGTTTTGAGGTGCTCTTTGCGTTTTAGAAACGAAGCCTGAAAAGATGCCTCTCTTCTGGTAGGCAGAGAGTGTGTAGATCCCTGTAAGTGCCTGCAGTACCACCTGAGCAGCCAGGCCAGCTCTGGGCAGCAGTGTCTCTCTCCTGGTGAGCAGTGTGAGGATGTGCATCCCACGCCTGGTCCCGCAGCCAGCGGCAACACAGCAAACACAGAGCAGCAAAACCTGCTCCTTCGTGTGTTGTGGTTATTCCCTCACTGTTCTAGTCTGCTGAACTGGTTTATCCCTACCAATCCCAGGGATAGCACAGTGCAGGGAGAAGGTGGGAATGTGTGGAGACCTCAGAGCAACTTTTCAGTATCTGAAGAGCCTACAAGGAGCTGCAGAGGGACTCTGTGTTAGGAACTGCAGTGACAGCACAAGGGGCAATGGGTTCAAACTGAAGGAGGGGAAGTCTAGGTTAGATATTAGAAGAAAGTTTTTTACTCTAAGGGTGGTGAGACACTGTCCCAGGTTGTCCAGGGAGGCTGTGGCTGCCCCAACCCTGGCAGTGTTCACAGCCAGGTTGGATGAGCCTTGAGCAACCTGCTCTGGTGGGAGGTGTCCTTGCCCAGGGCAGGGGTTGGGGCTGGGTGAGCTCTAAGGTCCATTTCAATCCCTAAATTCTATGATTCTATGAAGAGCAGCAGAAACAATGGAAAGAGAACTCCTCTGACAGAGAGCTATTAATGCCAGCCAAATAAAAACATGAGACTGCAACTAAAGACAGTTAACACTGTACTTCCCTGTGAGCTGTGTTTGTCATTCTGCATCACAGAGTCATCAAAAATAACTAGTTTAAAAGTGTAAAATGCAGCTTAGTCGGACAGCAGCTTCACAAAAGGGTTTCCACTCTTGCTGCAACACATGGCAAGTGTTGGAAATTACAGCCACAAAGGTACACACACAGTTCTGTGGCTCAGTGTGACACTAATCCTGTCCATGTTAACCATGCAAGTGACAAGGCAAAGAAAATCTGTGAGCACCAGGCTTTGTCTGGGGAATACTCCATGACCAAACCAAGTACAAAAAGTGAATGCTCTTTGCACGTGACATTTCCCAGTGCTGCTTCATGCATATTCTCAGTGCTGTTTGGCAGAGCAGTGAAACTGCCTCGTGCAGGCTAAATGTCACCTGTCTGCACCCAGGAGTGACCATCCACTGGCAAAGGGACCTGTCCAAATCTGCTCTGAAAGGAGCTGACAGCATCAGTCTGTCAGAAGTAACACTGACTGTCACCCTCTGCCCACAAGTACCGAAAGGAAAGGTACATGGACGTAAGATGCAGGAGGGAGTTCACTCCCTGTTTGAAACATTAATGTGTATTTACAATCTAATAGCCACCTGCAAAGAAATTCCCAGGTCTACCCCAAAGCCTACCCCCTCCCTGAAAATCAAGGGAGAAGGGAGGGAGGAAAATGCTCACACTGCTGATCCGATTTTTCTCTGCTTGCAGCAATTATTTGGTTTCAACTTGTAACCACAGAACAGTGCCAAATTCATCCAGACAAATGAGGCAATTCTCCATACCAGGAGCAACTTTGGCCCATTTGTCATGCTAATGCTTTATCTACACATCGCCTTATCTACATGTAATTTCCTCACTGCATATATCTACTTCTGTTGGAATAGATTTTTTTAAAAAATCGAATTAATATGGATGTAAAGCCTTAAAGGTAAGGATTTACACAACACAGCAAGGCATGGGATTCACCTTGCTAATCTCTTCAAGATGCACAAAGACAGTTTCAATATTGCTTCTTTTCCCCCTAAAGACAAAATATCATTTTCTGCTGCTTCTTAGCAAAGTCATCTACACACAGACTTGTCTTTCTGTTCCTTGCAGCAGCACTGGAAATGTGTCTGGAACAACAAATGCTGATCACCAACACACAGATCTTTAAGCTATAGGCTGATCCACTTCAAAAGGCAGGGAAAGAAAATTCTGTTTATCCAGGTTGTTTACAAGTCTGTAAATTAGGTTTAGTTTAATATCTCTGATGTCATAACTCCCTTAGATTTGCAGCCTCCAAACTCTTCTTCCTGGGAGGAGGGAAAAGCAGACACATCATGGAATTCTGTCCTCATAAACGGGAGCAGAAGGGGAATCACAGCACAAGAACAGTGAAACCCTCAAACTGGCATCATTTCCCACAGAATTCTGTCACATTCAGCACTTCCTGGGAAATCCAGCACAGTTATGTGACAGAATCTCCCACTGAATTTACAGCCATTAAGGTTAAACAGGAAAATTTAAAACACAAACAGGAAAAGTTCAAATCCTTTGCTAAATTTTACCCTTCCCTTGAAGAGTAAATACCTAAACTTAGAGAAAAGGGAAAGCAGCACAAGGTTCTTTATTTTAAAGCTCTTTTTGTCTGACCAGTCTAAACCTTTCATAGATCTGTTTGTTGGAAAGATCAGAAGTGATCACAGTTCAAATGCTCAGTCAGGACCATGTGAACATTCAGCTGTGGGTTGGTATTTCTCTAGCCCTAGTGATGTAGAGAGTGAGGAGTGACTGCACCAGGTCTCTCCCTCCGCCAGCAGGTGAGCTTCCAACTGCTGCCAGCCCAAACTGCCAGAATTCCGCAAACTTAGGTCAGGAAAGCATATCGACAAAGGAAACCATCAAACTTAAAGCAGGAAAGCATATCGACAAAGGAAACCACAGCTTGGAATAGTCCTAACTACAGAGTGGGACATCAAGTTCCTTGCAAAGCCCAAAGGAGAGATGTGAACAGTGCAAGCAGGTTGGGCTTCACCTGCAATT